TGTAAGTAGGCTTCATTATAATTTGAACTAGATCAAGATAAGAGATTGACCTGCGTTTACAGAGCATCTCTGCTGAAATTTCCTATGGCGCTGAGATTAAATCCACACACACAGCATTTTCTCGTTCCATTTTGTGTTGAAAGAAATGTTAGATGGATTAAGGAGAGCCACTACGTATTGCAAAAAGTGTTGAAGATGGTGCAGCTCCGACAGCAACCCCGCTTTGTTAACGCAGAGAGCGGGACGGCTGAAGCTTCCTGTGCACCAGTTACATCCGTTTCCCCTGAAATCTTCATTTTTACCTGTGCAGGTGTGTTACAAGGAACACCCCGAGCAACTGAGGGATTGTCAAAGCGCCGAACTGTGAAAGGTCCGCTGTCACTGCGCTTGAGCTGGGTTGTGGGCAATATCTGGAAGCCTGAATCTCGAGCTTGGGAAATGCTGCGGACTCGGGCCCGGCAGAACGAGGAGCGGCCCGTGACTGCCGGGCATGAGCGGTCCCCCTCTGCTCAGGCAGCATCGGCATCGGATTGCCCGACAAACGAGGAACGCATTTGCTCCTTCGCTCTGAGTGATGTGTGAAGCTCCAGGCTTTGGGTAAAGTCCCTCCAAACAAAGTCAATGAAACACTTCCCCTCCGAGAGGAAAAAAAAAAACAACTGTAAACCTCCCTCCTGAACTAGAACGGAGTTTTGTTTTCTTAGGTGAACAAAAAGTGCCCTTTAGAGAGAAAGTTCGTTAAACGGGACCTGGATGTGGCCCCTTTTTGCAGCTTGGCTGCCGAGTTACGAAGGACAATCTTTGCTTTTAAACACTGAAATAGCAATGTTCACTTAAAAACCAACAAAAAAAAGACCTCTCCAAACCCAACGTGTATTAGTATGCACTGAAATATATTGCCCCTTTTTTGCTCACGGTAATAAATTATACTTCACGTGGTTCCTTCTCACAAACAGGATGTCTGGACAATTCGGACTCAGCCGAGGTTGTGAATCTGCGATTTGTGGTTGCCGCAGCCCCCAAGGGATACTCGGGAGGTTGGGGAGGAGCCCTGAGGGGACCTTTTGCGCCTTCTCTCCTTCCCTTGGGAAGGGGCGGACACTGCTGGGACCGAACGATTGGCCCAGGGACGCGCATTTCTTGGTGCGTTTTGATTTAACTTTGTCCCAAGCTGATCTACTGAGGAAAAAAAAAAAAAAAAAAAAAAAAGGGGGGGGGGGAGGGGGGAACAAACGAAAATAAACAAATAAATAAATAAATAAGACTCCCTACGTGACTTTGCTTTGGCAAAGGGGCGGCTGCTGCTGAAAACTTTGCACCATCCGAGCACCTGTCTTCACTTCCCTTCCTATTTCACGGACTCTCTTCCCCTCGCATCTGTTGGCATTTTCATTCAACGAAAATCATCTCTCCCCTTTTCCCCTGCCCCGCGCGAAATAGCTCCCATGAAGCTCCCTTCACAGCTTCCCCTTCCCACTTTCCTGCATAACCGAAGGGTGTGTGTGTGGAGGGAAGCGAATGATAACCCCACATTCGTTTAGTTCACTCTCAGGCAATGTTGATTTCTTCCAATTCCCCCATAGACACTTCGTGTTTTAACTGCCCTGAGAGAAAAGAACAAAATAAATTCAAAATTAAAATTTATATTTTCTATGCCGAGACACTCATTGCTAAGCAACGGTGCTAGAAATGAGAGGGGGCAGAGGAGGTGTGGGGATGGAGGCTTCTGGGCCGTTTGGAAAGGGAATACCTGCCCTGTTGATGTCGTCGCCTTTTCACTTTATTTAAACAAACGAAGAACTGGAGGGTACCGCAAAGAGTAGCAGCGCTGTCCCGGCCGGGAGAGGCAAGCAGAGCTAGGGACGGCCCCAGCGTGGAGCCGGGGCTGAGCGTCCTGAGCGGGAGGTGGGTCCCATCCCGTCCCCGCACTCACATTTCTTTCCCGAATGAGGTTTTTTTTCTTTCTTTTTTTTTTTTTCTTTTTTTTTTTTCTTTTTTTTTTCTCCCCAGCAGTGAGACGCCTGCAGTCGGTGCGATTTATGCGGGATTCTAATTCTTCCGTTAGGATCTGTAAGTGCTGAGCTCAAGAAGGACAGAGGAATGCGAGGGCGGAGGAGGCGGCAGCCGCGCTCCCCGTGGAGAACCCCGGGGTGCCGAGCGCTAACACCCCCGCCGTGCCCTCCTCCCCTCGGCTCACCCCAGGGGACGGAGTGCCTCCAGGAGCCCCGAGCACGGCAGGGGCGAGCTCCTTCACACCACCTCTGGCCACGAAACGTCTCTCCATCACACCTCACACCCTTTCACAGAAGGTTTAGGAGATACTCCATCTCTGGAAACACAGCGGCACATCTGCGCGCAGCCCTTAATAACCGGGCTGCCTGCCGGAGGGGAGCGCTCCCTGAAGAAAGATGCTTTTCAAAGCTGTCTCTCCTCAGCGCAAGGTTTAAAAAATGAAAAAAAAAAATTATTTGCCGCCTTCTCCCCCAGGACCCGTCCAAACTTTTAAGAATGGTTTTTGTTTGCTGAAGTCAGCTTTCTGCTCGCAAGCTTTTAAGGAGAACGAATGCCACGCGCGGAGCCAGTTCTCCCCTCGGCTGCATCCCTCTTTCCCTTTGAAGTCAGCTGGGGTGCGCGGAGGTAAACGAGAGCAGAATTTGGGCCCTGGAGCTAACCACGCTGAGAAGCAGCTCCGTGGTTTGTTTATTTACTTATTTGTATGTTTGTTTACTTGTTTGTTTGATCCAGGAGTGGTGGGGGCAGTTATACCTCGCGTAGCTCCCTGCCTTCAGCCCTCGGTGCGGCGACGGTGCGGACACCTCTGTGTGAACCACGGCGCTGAGAGCGCAGACGGGGCAAAAAGGGAGAGGAGCCGTCCCTGGGGTGAAGAAGCTGCTGGAGGGCTCTGCTCTCAGTCCAGCGGTGGGGGTTGCGCTGAAGACGTGGCAGTGGCTCCGAGTGCGGGGCTGCCCCCGCAGCGAGTAGCGCTGCCGTCGGTGTACGGCCGCTCCGGGCTGTCGGGAGGGAGCGAGCGGCGCCGCCGTCGAGGCAGCTCTCGGGACGTGCGTGTCCCCCGGGCGGGCATTCTGGGCTCCTACGGTCTCACTGCAAAAAGCCCCGCTGCTGTGCTGCTGCCGGTGGGAGCTTGGAGTTTTACGGTTTTACGGGCACATGAGATGCTCCTTGTCCTCGGCACCCCTAGGGTTTACTAGCTGCCTTTAAAGAGGGACGTTTATTGGGATAAAAGTGGATTGCAGGCTGCAAGAGCGTTGCATGTGTCTTTCATTTAAAAGATACCGAGAGCTCCAGTTTTGGTGTTGTTTTTTCTTCTTTTTTTCTTTTCTTTTTCTTTTTCTTTTTCTTTTTTTCTTTTTTTTTTTTTTCTTTCTTTTTCCCTCCCCCAAGGCATTTAGTGCTTTTAAGGCAGAGTTATAAACAAGCTGCCGGAGCGCCGGCACACGGAGATGCGGGCGGTGGGGCCGGGAGGGGGGAGGAGGGCAGGGAGAGCATCTGTTTCCTCGGGTCTGCAGCAGACTTTGCTCCTAAAGGTGCAAAGCGGCAAATGCCGCTTCTTCAAGAAAATCCAGAGAGCAAGGAGGGGACCCCGGCACCGGGCCACTCTTCGCCGGGACTTCTTCGTACGAATTCACTCTCCATCCACTTCTCCACGAGAGCTCATGCACAGAGGGCCAAAGCAAACCCCAGCCCCGAACACATGCTTCAGCCCCAACTCCCCCCGCCACCTCCGTGCTCCCCCCGGTGCGGGTGTCAGAGGCAGCGCTGGGAACGGGGCGGGAGGGGCGCAGGGTGCCACTGCCTGCGGTACAGTTCTGAGGTTTTCGGGGTGCACACAGTGCACCCGTGTGTGTGCGGGTTGGGCTGTGCAAGTGGGGTGATGCGGGCAGCTGTATGCTGCATCAGCAGAGAGGTAGCCCGTTCAGGTATCCCTGATCGTCCCTATCATTAAAGCCGCTCTTCTCTCCCCACCATGGGGGAAGGGTTCTCCAGACTCATTTCTAAAAGAGCCTCAATGAGACAGATGCACTCAGTACGATGTTGCAGCACTGATCTGAACAGATCGCAGTCCTGATTCGTGTTGCTTTTGTGAGTAGGGAGTGAACTTCCTTTCTCAAGGAGCAGGGAGCAATGTGGGTCTTCCCTAAAAGTTTTGTGCAATGTGGGTCTTGTCAAATGGTTTCCTAGGTCTGTCTCGTCTATGTCTTAAATCCTGCCTATGTGACAGTGGACCAAAGAAAGAAACACTTTTCTCATATTTCAGGTGAAAACCTCTGCTTGTTCAATATTCACAGGAATGCAAGCATGCAAGATCATTTCTTTTTTTTTTTTTTTTTACCACTTTAGGTTCTGATTTGCCATTCTGTTTAACCAGCTCTCACTAACACACAGAAGTGGATTGCGACTCTGCTGCATAGAAGCCAAATTCCCTTCCAGGACAGCTTCTGAGCAGCTTTTGCTGTTCTGTTTCTCTGCTTCCCATCTCCACTGCATGAACAACATTTATTTTTCCCTCCAGCTTTAGGATCGAACTGCTGAGCTATTTGGGGAAGAAAGAGCATTGGTTCTTCTCTGCAGCTTCAGAGAGCAGGACTGCAGCTACTGAGTGTCAGTTGGATTGATTATGGGAGATCCTTTACTCTAGGGTATGTGCCCCTGCAGTCCCCGAGCTGCGCCTCTCAGGGAGCTGGGAAAGAGGGAGGGAAGTGAGAGATTGCTCTCTTTTCGGGATCCCCGGAGAAATGAGAATGGGTCACGGAAGGGAAATGTCCTTCTCGCGTTCCTCCCTCTCTCCCTCCCTCCCATCTCCCCTCACCCTCCCCGCATGCCCGTGTATGTGTGTTTGTCTGAAACACATCTGTCTGTCTAAAATGGGCCTGGAACTCCCTCCTGTGTTGGGATTAGGTCTTGGGGGACCCGGGGTGGAGTTACGGCACTCGCCGATTTTCATATTCATTAGAAATGGGAGGTTGCGTAAGGAGCCCCGCTGAGCTTCAAGATATAAAGCAACTTCAGGTTCCCCCTCTAAAGACAAGACAAATCAAAAGCTCGAAGGGAAAGCAGCTCCCTGAGCTCTGAACGTCTCTCCCTTCCTCCTTCCCTCCCATCCACTCCCCCTCCCCTGCTCACAGTCTGGCCTCTGTCTAGGGAAGAGGCTATCCGGCAGCCTTATATGATTATGGATTTTCTGAGCGAGAAGTTTGCCCTGAAGAGCCAGCCGAGCAAGAACAGTGACTTTTACATGGGAGCAGGAGGCACTTTGGAGCACGTTATGGAAACTTTGGACAATGAGTCCTTTTATAGCAAAACGTCAGGCAGCAAATGCGTGCAGGCCTTCAACCCTCTGCAAAGGGCTGAGCATCATGTGAGGCTGGACAGGACATCGCCCTGCCAGGACAACAACGGTAAGGCGGCAGTCCCGCTGCGTTCTGCTCCTGCTCACCGGGTTAGCCTCTGCTCCTGCCCGGGAGAGTGGGGGGAGCCGTGCAGCCTTTGGGAGCTGGCAGGCGAGGTGCAGCCTGCTAAATAATAATTATAACAACACTATCGGTAACGTCAGTAAGAATAACGATGATAACAGCGATGCAAAAAAATGGGAAAAGGCGACTGCTTGCTTGGAAGCGCTCTTCACCTTTCTGCTGCCCTCTCCGCCGGCACCGAGCAAAGTCGTTGGGCTTTACTCCTTCCCTGGACGCGCAGCCCGGCCAGGGGAACAGGCAACGCGGAGGGAGGAAGGAGCCGGGCAGGGCTGCCGGGGAAGGGCCGCGGCGGAGCAGGGCGACCTGGCTGCTGCAGAGAACCCGCGGACGCTGCCGCCTGTCCGCTCCGCGCCTCTCGCCTCTCCCCTCCGCGCCTGGCTGGGCTCGGGGTTCCCATTCCGCCGCTCTAGGAGGGGCGGCCCGGAGGGCTGCGGGCGCGGAACCCGCCGGATCAGAGAGGCACCGCCGCGGGTTGAAAACGGAAGGTCACTTGGTCGTGTTCTGCTCTTTAAATAACTCTCAGAGATTATAGTATTTATCTTTATTATCGTTATTATTTTTACTAAGCCACTGAGTAACGTGCAGTCGACATGACATGTGACTCTTTGTACGGACTGAAAACGATTTAGGTAACTCACACGATGCTATTACGTGCTAGTGTATTATTACTTTTTTTGCGCTTTTTTTTTTTTTCTTTTTCTTTCTCCCCCCCCCCTTCCCCCCCCCCCCCCCCTTCCCCTAGCTGATCGGCAAAAGAGAGTGTGCTGCTTTTTTATTTATAAAACAATCCAGAATTTTGCCCTTTATTCCCCCCGGATGGAATTCATTTTTAGGGGGAAAAAAAAAATAAAAGCCTGTCCTAAAGCAGCATCGGAAATATGGTTAAAATCAACTGCCTTAATGAGACTAACCATGTTCCACGTTTTCTGGCTTCATACAGGTATTGAGGTTTTTGATTTTTTTTTTTGTTTGTTTGTTTGTCTGTTTGTTTTTTGAGGGCATCCTTTTTTGTATGAAACAGTCCATAAGAAATAGTGACAGAGTTCTGCAAGTGCAATTTAGAAAACCTGTGGAAAATTGATTTACACATTGAAATCTTTCTTAATTAGCTCGTTTAGTGCGTGCCTTAGGGGCGCTGGGAGCATTTCCTATCTATGTACATACTGATGGTAAGTATCTCAAAATTCCGTTTGGTTCAAATCACTCCGGGATGAAAGAAAACAAATTATTGAGAAGGCGAGAAAACCCAAAAGCAGGCTCCTTTTCCTATGTGACATGACAGCCGTGTAAGTTCTGATTTCAACACTTTTAAACTTTTTTTTTTTTTTTTGTCCATTTCTGAGAGTAAAAAGAAAGTCCTTCTGAATCCTGTAACACATCGCATGTCTTTGTTTTGATGTGAGATGTGTAAAAATAGAAAAACAGAAAACTCTTCGATTTCTTAAGATGCTATACAGAAGTTTTTCTTGTCTGTACCACTCGAATTTTACCTAAAGACAAATAGTGCCAGCAATTCTTATACAAAGTATTTGAAACAATCTCTTTTAACATGTTAACATTTTGCAGAAACTCTCTACATTTTCCAATCATAACAAACTTAATTGGAAACAATTCCACTTTACAAATCCAAGGGAAAGTATGTGGAATCTATTGAGTTTGTAAAGAGAAGTTGATTTTCAGTTTCATTTACTTCTTGATTTGTCAGCTTGCAGCTATTTCCTTTATACTAAAATTATTCTGTATTTTCGTGTAAATAGATGGACTTTTGTCTATTTGCTTCCAAGTCTAAAGGAATGTTTGCCAGTAGCTTTATACCACCTATAGGAAAAACTGTTTCATGCTAAGATTTCTTATCTGTGCAATTCCAGTTAAAGCTGATTTCATGGATTATTACCTACTTTAGTGGCAGCGTAAAAACACTCAAGTACTCTCCTTACACTGAAATATTTTAGATGATCTTTTCAAATACAATGCTTAGTTTAAATATTGTGGTTTAATACTCTTATTCTATTTGTGATTAACATTGCGGATTCCTTTCCCACATCTCACATAGAAATAGGCATACATGGAATGTGGTTCCCTATGAAACAGTTTCATATGTATCCTTCACTCTAAAGCCCTCATTTACCAGTTATTTATCTCCCCTACTTTGTGTACAGTGAACTATGGGATTACTAAAGTGGAAGGACAGCCTCTTCACACAGACCTGAACAGGCCCTTGGACAGCTGTAACAACCTGAGGATGTCTCCTGTGAAGGGGATGCAGGAGAAGGGGGAACTGGACGAACTGGGCGATAAGTGTGACAGCAATGTCTCCAGCAGTAAAAAGAGGAGACACAGAACAACTTTCACCAGTTTGCAGCTGGAGGAACTGGAGAAAGTCTTCCAGAAAACGCATTACCCTGATGTTTATGTGAGGGAGCAGCTAGCTCTGAGGACAGAGCTCACTGAGGCCAGAGTCCAGGTAGGAACCAAACTTAAGCGTTTCCTTGACAATTTGTACATTGCAAGAACTGAGGAATGACACTCTTTAGGATTGCACAAAAGCCCACAAAGCTAACATAAATTGGTTATTGATTATTCTGCTTTATTTCCTTCTAGATATAAAGAGCGGTGTTGCAGTGCTAAAATATTGCTGTTATTATTACATATTTTTTAATAGTTTTTGTTGCTGTTTTAGCAACTTGCTTAAAATACAACAGAGCAAATCAATATGAAAGTGCTTTTGATATCTGGTAGTCATGCTTAAATGTCAGAATTCCAGGCACCAAAGGCATGAAGTGTTAATGTGTAAAAATCCCATTAAAGAAATACATTTTAAGTAGTTCAGACTACTGATGATACAAAACCTGACCATAGAGGATTCTGCATGTGTTGTGGCATGAAAAACACAAATCTAAAGAGCACTCAAATTTCTTGTTTATATCCAAAGAGTAAGCAAAGGAATTGCTCATATTTATAAATGTCTGTGTGTGTAAGTTGTATGTGAGTATGCATGATGCATATGTACCACAAGGACGTAATACTCTCATCTCTGTAGCATATTTCAAATTAGGAAATTTGGAAAGTATGTTTGCTTGCTTTTAAACTTGCATATCCAATGGATAATGTTATTCTAATTTTTGGAAAAAATGTATTTTTGGCAACTCAGAGCAGTATCTGAATATCTTAACTGCATATGAAATTGATTCATTCAGCATGTGCACATACACTAATCCAAAGAATATTTGTGACTTTGGATGTATAACGGTGAGAAAAGAAGCTAAATGTCCAGGAAATACATCACCTTCCCTATTGAGATCTTCCCTTCAGAAAAGTGTGTGAATTGCATTTTGCAAGTTTACATAGATTTTAGAGATACTTTCTGTTCAGTTAATACTCAACATCTCAATTCAGGGAATAGCAGTCCTGTAGATTCTTGCAGACTGGGATTGATTTTTTCAACTTAATGGCTTGAGTATGATAACAACTTCACAACTTGTAATGAAACACATACTCTCACATTCATATAGAGAAATAGACGTCAACACACATGCATACAACTGAAATTAAACCAGGATCACTTTCAGAAATGAACTCCACTAATTAATTTTATAAAGAAGTGCTCTTTTCATGTCTGTTCAACCAGATGGCATCTTCACTGTTGTCATCTGAAAGTAGTCTAAAATCATGAGCCTGTTATACCAATATGATATCAGTGATGCCAATAGAACTCAGCTGGGTGGTTTTTAACTCTTCAGGTTCTGTGCAATTCCTCCCCTGCAAATCTGGGTTAGTATTCTAAATACAACTTGTATTCATTAGGAATTACTCGTGACTTAATAAAAAAAAAGTTGCTACAGTGTTAAATTGCTGTTCTTACAATTGCATAATTCTGGAATCATGAGAACTACTCCAAGAATAAATTAACAGACAGAATAGAGAGGAGAGAATGGAGTAAAATTTGTCAATTCGTTTTTTCTCTCACTTTGTTCTTTAAGAATCTTCATATGGTAATATAAATTAACAGACAGAACAGGGAGGGGAGAACAGAGTAAAATTTGTCAATTCGTTTTTTCTCTCACTTTGTTCTTTAGAATCTTCATATGGTAAAAGTATTAGAAATAAGAGAGTAAATATGAAAATGTATATGTCTGCACCAGACTTTCAGACTATTTTCTTTATAAACATTTTTCCCTTAAAGAATTAGTGATCTTTGCATTTCTTATATGCTAAATATGAAAGGAAATGATGATCATTTTTATTCAGAGTAGCGACAGTATTCCATCACAAGATTAAGCAATTTAAAAAGCCTTACAACATTAGAGGAAAGCGTGTGGCAACTCAAGAATAACAAGCAGCAGATTTTTACATTGCTTTGTGGAGGCAAATGGTTACTTTATCTCTGCCAAGAGTCAGTTTCTAGTAAAGCGATGTAAACAGAAAGATTTTTGGGGATTGTCAAAGGAAAAAAATGTGTGCTTTTTTTTCTCCTTCAGCAACGATAAATTCAAGCAAATTGTTTGATTTAGTTTAGCAGAATGATCAGCTGGATACACTGCCCACATTTCCCTTCACTACCATTTCATCAAGATCCAGTTTAATATTCGTCCTGCATACATGCAGAGAGAGCCAACCTGAACTTAATTTATCTAAGTTGTTCTCTTTCCTGCTGCATGTCAGTGAAGTAATTGGCACCCATTTTAAGGAGATTGTCAAGGTCTTTTTTCAATGAAAGAGCCTCATTACTAAATTCCCTTAGTATGTTCTTGGTGCCTCCTGTGGAGACAAGAGAATTCTTTTTTCCTTTACTTTTCCTTTTGCTGAGCCTCGGGCAAAATAAATAATACAGATTTACCAGAAAAGCCCTTAAGAATATACACTCAGTAGTTACATGCATGGGCCTTGCTTTGATTGCTGCATTTTAAAAGATTGTACATACTAAATTTCCAACAAATTCTTGAGAATGAAAATGAGAAAAATTATGCTCTGGTTGCATGAAAGGAAAGTTGAGTTCTCCAGAGATTGAGTAAAAAAAATTAATTACAAAACATGTACTGCTACCATCAAAGACCAGAAAACAACCTTCAAAAACGGGATTCACAGTCACTTTTTATAAAAGTATTAGTGTAAATATCTATTCAGATAGGTTCACCATTCATTTAGGAGGAAAGCTAGCAAATGGCATTGTTTCCATTAAAAAAAAACCCACGGCATTCTGTTAATGGCATGACTTCTTAAGAAGAGTCAAAACGAATTTGCTGAGCAATAAAGACTTAGATAATTTTACTTTTATAAAGGGACAGTTACTTTTCTTAGCAGTCATTTCAGTTAAACAAGACAAGTCTTACTCAGCCCAAAGCAAACTGTCTTAAAGAAGAAAAATTTGAATGTCAGCCAACAGTGAAAGCATGTATACAATAGATTTTGAGATAACATGACACTCAAAATATCATATAACTGTTCAAAGGCTATTTAAATATAAAGAAGGCAGCCCTAAGCTGAGGCATTGTTTCACAACTAAATTATTTTGTAATCTAAGTGTCATTTTCTTTGTCTTCTATTGTCAGAAACAAAGATTCTTCCTAACACAAGTATGAAAATATCATAACATAAACTATGGTCTGATGATTTTTTTATCATCTTCCTTCACTGACAGCTATGATCCTTCCTTATAGAAAGTGGGATTGATAGTCTTGGTGCTAGCTTTTCCTGTCTTTTCATTAATGCAATTAATGAAGACTGTATATACCTCCAAGGGATAGAGCATGGGGTTGACATGTTGAGTGAGTGGTCACTTGAAGTTAAGATAAAGTCTCTTCACAATGTGACTTGCTGCTACCTGGAGATTTTGTACTGAAGAACTGTCAAAATTAGCACTGCCTGACTAGCTGATTATTCCTCTATTATTTTTTTTTTTGACAGTAGAAAGGAAGCAATATATACTATTTAAATATCCAGAAATAACTACACTTGCAGTTGAGTATATGAGTAAATCTTAACTATTTTTCTTCTTTACTGTAGGTTTGGTTCCAGAATAGGAGAGCAAAATGGAGGAAAAGAGAACGCTATGGGCAGATCCAGCAAGCTAAGAGCCATTTTGCTGCCACTTATGATATATCTGTTCTTCCAAGGACTGACAGCTATCCTCAGGTATGCTGAAGACCAAATGGTACTTTGGTTCTCCACTTGCTGTAGGCATGTATCTTAATGGAGGATGCATGAAGACTTTCAAGTGTTTATATTCTTGTTTTCTTTAGACAAGTTGCCAAGAGCTGCCATTGTGAACAACAGTTCCAACATCTAATATGTGTAAATAACTCCTAAAATACGTGTACTTTTAAATGAATGATCTTAGGAGCTGCATTTTCACATAAGTTATGTACTAAAAATAGTTGGCTATATGTTTGTAGAGCTAATTACATTCTGCACATAATGTTATGTGGGGATCTGAATAACCTCTAGGTCCATACACAGATTCAGATAAATTATGGATTCACTGAGATTGAAAGGAATGGACTAGAATTTCACTTCTGGGATTTTTATATTCTAAGGTATACCTGTCTTAAAAACTCTGCTCATGTATGCTTTGGTAAGATGAACCGTAAAGTATATTATCATTAGGCAGTTTCATTCTGATGCTTTAAACATGCATAATTTCCTTATGGACCTCATAGGCAGTTGAATACAATTAGGCTTCTGCTAGCATTAAATATTTTTATGGACATGAATAATCAGAACTGAATCCATACAGCTTCAAGATGGAGACAGGAAGACAATAAAGCTATCTGGAGCAATAGTAGTTTGTTTCATTTCTTCATCCTTTTCTTGCTTTGCCTCACTCTATGTCATTGTTTTCCTGCTTTTTTTTTTCATAACACTGAATACTTTTGTACTGAAGCCATTGCTTGTCATGTCTTTTGCTTCCCATACTGATTTCAAAAAGAAAAGGCTCCAAAGAAAGTGTCCCTCTGCCAAAATTGTTTCATGACGGTATCTTGATGCTCGTCTATTTCATCAGGTAACAGAATCTCTGGCTAGACTTAGGAATACACTCATATTCAAAAAAATTATTGGCTATGTCTACATAGGTTTGCTTTGGTCATGATCTGCCTTTGCTGAATCAGCTTAGCTTAGGACTAGAGAACTTGGGTTCATTTCTCTTCTATCTCACTCCAACTGCTTTACCTTTCAGAAGGCTGTTACTAAGTTCAGTGTTAGGGACAGAGCTAGTCTGTGTTCCAGCAGCTCAGAATATAGGCAATACCATTTCAAACTGTTTGATACCCATCATTCTGTGCATTAACATTCTATAATGTAACAGTGTATTAGTCCAAATTACATCAGAAAACATTGTATGATACTTGTGATTGTTCAACCTGGAGAAGATGAGTCTTGGAGTAGATTTTATAGATGCCTTTAAGAGTTTGAAGGGAGGATGCAAATAAGACAGTGACAGGCTCTGTCTGAAAACTGGTGCCCAGTGCCAGGACAAGAGGTAACGAGCACAAATTGGAACTCAGAACTCTGAAAATCAGGAAACACCTACATACTGTGTGGGTTACAGAGCACTGGTACAGACTGTCCAGAAATGCTGTGGAGTCTCTTCCTTGGAGATCTTCAGAAGCTGCCCGGACATGGTCCTAAGCAATCTGCTTTTTGTGTTCCTCCTTGGGCAGGGTTTGGACCAGGTGACATCCACCCTTCCCGCCTTGACTATTCTTGTGATTTTGTGATTGATACCACTATTCTGTGATACACTGTGTGTTAAAGTAGGAGGGTTCAAGATTTGTCTGATTTATCTGAGTCCCAGGGAATTGAGTGCAGAAAAAACCACCAAACAATCAGTAACTTGAATCACTCCTAGGCAGATGCACAGGTAGTCATAGATCTCAAGGTGCTCAAGTATCTTTTGAAGAACTTTCTGGCTACTCTTCACAGCAGGTGAAGTGTGACACAAGGAATAGTGCTTACACTTTGGGCTTTCTATTTCTGACTCATTTTTCTAGACTGAATTGGTTCTATCTAGACTAATCTAGTACTTTTAGGGGGACATCATTTACAAATTTTCACAACAGTCAAGTTTTTTAGTATAAACTAATGGAATAACTAGGTCATTTGCAAGTACTTAAAATTGTTTAAATTTTTTAAAGGAAACACTTTTGAATTATAGGAAACTCCTACTAACTTAGATCTAAATCCTATGGAAAAGTCGATTTTGTGTTTTCATGTTGTAAAGATATGAGAATAAGAAATAGATATCAAGGAAGTTATCACATAAAAGACAATATAAATTCACATTCTTGCTAGCCTAGTGGTGACTCTTCAGTTTCATACTCTTAAATTCTCACGATCAGTAGAACCATACATGTATCACATGCACAGAGTTTATTTACAGTGAGAATACTTACAAAAATGAAAATGCATATTAAAAACACAATGACCACTAACATCCTTACATTCAAATCTCTAGAATTAGGTGTTCGTTTATAAGTGTCTCATTCACAGAAAATATATGTTTGATATATGATTTGCCATTAAACTCATTAATCTATTTTATAGTTCAGGGAGAAAGAGATATTTAAAACTGTGATCTGCATGTTTGGTCTTAGTATTGTATCATAGAATCACAGAATGGCTTGGATTGGAAGGGATCTTAAAGACTATTCAGTTACAATCCCCCTGCCATGGGCAAGATTGCCACCCACTAGATCAGGTTGCCCAGGGTCCCATCCAAACCTGGCCTTGAATATCTCCAGGGATGGGGCATTCTCAGCTTCTTTGGGCACCTGTTCCAGTGCCTCACCATCCTCTGAGTAAAGAATTTCTTCGAAGTATCTAACCTAAATTTGCCCTCTCTTAAAGACATTCCTCCTTGCCCTATCACTATTAGAATATGTAAGAAGTCATTCCCCCTCCTGCTTATGACTCCCTCTGGTACTGGAAGGCTGCAATGAGGTCTCCCTGAGCCTTCTTTTCTCTAAGCTAACCAAGCCTATCTCTCTCAACTTTTCCTCATAAGACAGATGTTTCAAGCCCTTTGGTCATCTTCATGGCTGTCCTCTGGACTCACTCCAAAAGCTCTTTCTTGTACTGGGACTCCAAGTCTGGACACAATACTCCAAATGGAGCCTTACAAAAGCAGAGTAGAAGAGGACAATAACCTACCTCTCCCTGTTGGCCAGGGCAGCTAGCTGTTTTAGGCAGATCAAGATATAGTTGATCTTTGAGACTGTAAGAGCACACTGCTGGCTCATGTTCAGCTTTTTGTCCATCAGGACCTTTAATGTCTTCTCCACAGGGTTGCTCTCAATAAGGTCTTCTCCAATGAGTTCTTCCTATCTGGGATTGCCCTGACCAAGTGCAACACTTGGTCTTACTGCAACGCTTGGCCTTATTGAACCTCATTAGGTTCATGTGGATTCACTTTTAAAGGATACCTGGTCCACTGGATGGCATTCCTTCCTTCTGTTGCATCAACTGCTCCACTCAGCTTGATCATCATCATTATACACTGATTTTCTAGGAAATTCCATTAATTCAGTACTTGGAGAAATCTCATGAGTGTAAAAACTAATATAAGAAATTAAATCAAATATTTTGCTGTTGTTGTTGTTGATATTTTGTTTTCCTTGTGTACAAGTGCTCTTACTGTGACAATGACATCACTAAAGACTAGACAGGTTTTCCTGTACTTTCAGATAACTATATTTCCCCGGAGATCATGGAACACAAATCACTTTAGCTTGATTATGAATGAGATTCTTACTGACATGTGGCAGAAAAAAACAGGAATAAATGTGAACTTCTGACGTGCATTATATGAATGTGAAGTCTGATGATTTTTGCTTTGAGTCCCATCATGGATATATTCCCAAGATGAACATACCACTTGCATTCAATCAGAAATATTACCCTATATTGCAGGCAACGAAGAGTGTGGAGATCCCTGCTTAATCTTTTTGCTAATTATCTTAATCACATACAAATTAAAAACATGATGCTGCTATGCATTGTGTGACTGTATAAACCTGAAAGGCTTTCCTGTAAGGAATAAAAGCTTTTCAATTTATTTCAGAAATCAGTGTCTCAGAATCTTCTATAATCCAATTTAATTTTGCTATTACATTAAAGATCTTTATCTCTGAAATAGTAATAGCCTTTTTTTTTTTTTTTTTCTAGATGATAATTTTTTTATTTTGCTAATTCAACTGACCTTGAATTATTTTTCTAGGATGTGGAATTTAGCTGCTGTTTATTGTGCAAAACTTGTTGCTTGGTTGTCAAGAAGTTAAATATTTCCTAATCTATCCAAATTCTGCACACATATATAATCTCTAAGAGGCAACATCTTAATAAAGGGTGAATGAGTGCAGTATCACTCCACAAATTCACTGGTTTCATTAACAAGTGATACTTGGTTCAGTGGTTCAGTCTGCTGGATACAGTATCTAGAGCTATTTAAAATGTCTTGGGATATCTTTGACACTATTATGGTGCTGACAAACAAGGCTTATGAGAAGCACAACCATTCAGAGGAAGAAGTTGGTGGTGAGAAAACTCTAGACATTCATGCATAGGGAATTTAATCAAAAGGATTTTTATGACAGAGATGGTTCCTTTTAAAGTTGATAAAAATCTGGTCAGTGAAATTATCTCTTCCTAAAGTAGATAGAAAATAAGTAAGATGATCTCTAGAAGTGTGTTTTTCTCTCAGTTGCCTAGCTCAACTTTATTTAATAAATATTTATTTAATAAACAGTTGAATTGAATTGTGTCATTGAAAAGCAGACATATTTTCCATTCCATCTAGTCTATTCCCACACTGTGCATCTTTTCCTCTTTCTAGTTCTGTGAGTCCAGTTCAGTTCTCATTACTCTTCAAAGCCCTTCTGAAATGTTTTTTCCTGTCACACTGTTATACTTTTCTTCCTACTATAATGTACTTGTTTATCATTTTTGTTTGAAAATGCAGGCAAGATTTGGACAGGACTTAACTTACTTTAATGAAAAATCCATTGTGGTGCAGGTGGGAATCTGAAGAGAAGGCAAAAATATTTTTAAGATATAAGAACTGAAGAGATTCAGGAAATAGGGTATAGAAAGAGAGAGAATGCTGAAATCTCAATAATAGAAGAGGCGATGTTAAACTT